AAAATTCTGTAGCTTCTTTTTCTGTAGGCGAGGAAAAGAACAGCTGTGTTAAATACAAAGAACTGGGGGGTACTGAAGAGCATTCCTTTCTTCCTCACCCTTCCATCTGTCTCCTAGACGGAACTGCACAAAGTACACCCAGAGATCCGAGACTGGAACGTTTCGTGTGCCCCCAGGGTACCACGGCGTGGAGCTGGGACAGGAGCTGAGCTGTGGGCTTCAGCAGTAGCCCCCCCAGAGGCCAGCCACGGCCTCTCAGCTCTGGTCACATACGCAGCATGAGTAACAGAGCGTTTTTCAGCTACTGTATTTCAGGAGTATGCTATAACTAAGCGTGGGGAATTACGGAGTTATACTGTCTCTCCTTTTTGATTATTTACTTATGCCATCTTTTCATGTCTCACACCTTTGCTATTTGCCACTACAGCCCCATGTCAAAGGCACTGTGCTGCAGACTACAGAGACTGGAAATACACAAAGTGTAGACTCCTAGTCCTGGTGGTAAATGAGGATAAGAACAGCTTGCACTTCAGTAAGACCTAGTTTGAGTTTGGCCTAATTCTTACATTCAATCTAGAAACTTAGACTGGTTAGAATTCAGAAACTCATCACATTTCAAAAGAAATAATTTGATTTTCACGGGTACATGCAGAGAGTCAACAGGAGTTATTTGCATGTATCTGAAGACTACGCTAATCTTAATAAAACCTAGTTCGGAGCGGGCTGAAGAGGCAAAGTTAGTAAAACTGACAAATATAAATAGGATGTCAAGGATTTGGACTAGCACTTCTGAACCATCCCATTATAAATAATACATACATATAGATGACTAATATATATTTTTTAAAATAAAAAGCAAATGGCTGTACTTGCCTTTATTTTCTTCTTTTTTGATGGTGTTGGAGAGCTTTGAAGGTCTTTCCTATTTGCAGAACGAGAATTTCTCTCGCCCTCATTCAAGTCCTCTAGTTTCCTTTTCTTTACTGTGCTCCTTAAAGATCTGAACTGTTGAGTATTGTCCTTCAGGGGGGTTGCCGTGCTAGTCCTTGCGATAGCCGCCCGTGACAGTATCATCAGCGTGTGAGCAGCCATACTGACACTATTTTCGCTACCTGTTTCACTAGCGGGGCTGCAGGCAGGCAAGTCTGGCGTAGCAGGGGGTACCATTATTCTAGGGGTCGTGCTGTCCTCGTTGAAGCGCCGACAGGTTGGTGTCCGTACGCTATCTGTAGTATCATCTGTATGCCTGTCCCCAACTCCAGATGGCGTACGGGGTACTGGCAATTCTCCATTTTCAACTGTTTTACTAGTTGGGCTATGCCACTGAATGTCTTGCAACATTTCCACGCATTGTTTAGTGAATGGACTTGACAGGCAAAGGCCTTGGCTGGAAACTTTAGCTGGTTCTCGTTTTGGCTCCTTCGAAGATAAAGAAACAGGCACTGAAGATTTGCTATTCCCATTCGACAGCGACCCTTGCTTTTTGTTCAGCTCTTGTACTGAAGTAACTGTCTTCTCACTCCATAAGCTAACGCTTTGTTGGCCATTTGAGAGTTTGGCAGTGTCCTGGTTCTTCTGTTTTTCATCAGTATCGCGTCGTAATTCATTTTCCTTATTTGCTGTAGTCTTGTGGAAGGGATCTAACGGAAGTCCTGCAGTTGCCACCTTCCGCTCGGGCTGTGGCTCCTTTGCAGATGCGCTTCTGTTGCTACCAACTTCTGGCTTACACAGAATTCGAGGCAACGTTTTATCTTTCTCTCTCTTTGCTACCTGTGCCTTAGCAGAGGACGACGCAGAATCAACAGCAAATAAAGTATTTTCATTTCTTTCTTTCTGGGATAAACTCTTAGTAGTCTGAATTTGGGCGTTTCCTCCTGGAGCAGGTAGGACATTATCAAAGCAAAGCACTCTCCTGTGACTTTCACTTTGTCTTGAATTTGAGCTTGTGCTCTCCACTGGTGCAACAGGTAAGTTCTCCTCCACCTTCCTTCCTAGTTCTGCAGTGATAAGTTTGTCTGAGTTTCCAGTCCTGAAAATGAGATGAAAACACCTCAGCAACATACTTGTTCTTACTAGACGAGTTCATTTGAGCTGGTTGGAAGTCCCCACCTGCCCCTCAAAACATCTGTTTAAAGCTCTCTCCACCTTATCAAATTGTCAAGACCAGGAGTAAGGGATGACAACTGCGGAAAGCTCAGAGAAGGCCAAAAAGGATGACAAAAATGTATGAAACAGTCTGTACAAAGAACAATTAGGTACACTGGGGCTCTTCAGACCGGAAAGAGAGATGACTGAGGGGAAATGCAACAGAACTCTGGGAAAAAAAGCCAACAAAAAGGAAACTATATGCTGCATCTCCCAGTGGAAGAACTAGGGGCATCAAGTAAAACTAGTATCAGGTTCAAAACAAAACAAGGAGCTTTGGACACTGCATGTAATTAAGCTTGGGAACTTTTTACCCTGGGATATTTGTGGATGCTGGTAGTATACTTGAGTTCAAAAAGAAACTAAGCACACTCATGACAGGATAGTCCATCCCAGAATCTGGTTGTGGCTCTGGCAGTCCTTGGAGCTGAAACTGCTAAGATGCTGTCAGAATATTCTGGGCAATATCATCATGCATGTGCCTTGTGCTCTGCCCTCTGCATCTGCTGTTGGTGATGGCATACAGAGCAAGACAAGCAGCTTTCATTGGGCATCTGGACAAGAACATACATACAGGCTCCCTGGGGCTCGGTCTCCACCTGACAGCCAGCCACATTAGTTTCAAAAAGCCACCACTGCACTGTAGTGATGTCAAAAGAAAAATGCTTCTGCTCTGTCAGCTCATACCACTGCTATGTCTGTGCCCTGTTCCTGGCTTATGCTGCATTTCCCAGAGAGGCTTCCTTCTGCGTATTTATCTGTGCTAGTAAGGCTTTCCCCATGCAGATAAGCCTTTATGGTTTAGAAAAGGAAAAGTCAAATTAACTTTGGGATGGTAACTTTGGGATGGTAAAGAAGGTATGGGTGGTAGCAGTTTGTTTGAGATGAGACAGAGGGCAGAGAGTAGAAATGAGAAAGCACATCTCTTTACAGGGAACATTTTGCTCTCTTTGCTATGCAAAACACATGTCTGTAGATCAATCAAAATTAACAGAAAGCTGAATTATCAAAATTATTTTATCCCAAATCTTGCTTCTGTGGTTTTTACAAAATCACTAATTTTTGCATGCATGTATACTGTATACCTTGGTATACATTGGCTGTTTTGTTTTTTTTTTTTAAATAATTTGATTTTATTGTTCCCGTTTTCCTCCACTTTTCCAACATTTCAACTGAGTTCTGAATAGGTAGATTTTTTAAAGTATGTTTTATTTTCACAGTAAAAGAACTTTTCACTTGTAATATTTGAACTGAACCTCTTATCGCCTTTTGCTCATTCCAACATCCTTTTGTTTCCTAAGTCCATTAATGACACAGTCACTATGGAAGACTTACTTTCTTCTCTCTCACTTGCTCAACAGAAGACTAGTACCTATCCCGATTAGCAATTAAATTATATTTATCAATATATGTAATAGAAGGGTTTAGTCATCAAAATCTTCCAGTAAATGTAACAGGTAATTTCTCCTAGCTTGGACTCTGCTCAAACAATTTTTATTTGGTAACTGAGATGGGCTTAAATAAACACAAAGACACACAACAATAACGAAGGAACAGTAACAGCAGCATCCTGGCACAGGCTTGTCATTAATACATCCCTGCACCGGTACTAACACACACCTACATCAATACTCCTAGCAGATAGACAGGAGGGAAAAAAAAAAGGGGGGGTACTGCTCATGCCACTGTTAAAAAGGCTGTCCTCCTCCCAGTCAATACAGTACGAAGAAATTCATGGCAGGAAAAAGAAAGCAAGTTTGAATACCTAGCACTACTGACCTTTGTGTTCGAGAATTTGTATGGTTCAAAGGCTCAGCTCCACTTGGTACCAGTTTTCCTGGAACAACAGATGAAGTGTTAATAAACTACAGTATTCCGAGTAAATCATCTCACAGTTCGCACAATGACATTTGTAGACGTGGCGCTTAGGGACATGGTTTAGCGATGGACTTGGCAGTCTTAGGTTAATGGTTGGACTCAATGATCAAAGGATCTTTTCCAACCTAAACGATTCTATGATTCTATGACATTTCACCTGACAGAGAATCAATACAGAAAAAGCCAGCAACAAGACTCTGCAACCTTTTCATAATTTTCAAATTTACAGATTAATAGATTAGCAAAGGCCACCAACTAAGCATAAAGCAGCAGCTTGCTTGCTGTCTACACTCACATAACACATGGTCCTGGCAAGACAAAATCAACTAAGCTGGACTTCCAAATGCACAGCAGGCATTTCCAAGTAGAAGGGAAATAACCACAGGGAACTCTCAGTTACCCATCAGCAAACCAGAATGCAGTCTAACGCCACCATCCTAGCTTTTTCTTAATTTGCAGCTTCATTCTATTTTCATTTTTATGTGCAATCTAAAAAAGGTAGATAGGCTAATGCACAAGTTGTCCTTATAGCTCAATTTATTTTGCATTTTCAATTATTTTTCTTTAGTCCCTCCCAACACTGAGAAATGAATGTAACTCCAGTCTTGTTTCAATTTCCTATTTAAAGAAGCAGGGTCTCAATGAAATGAATACACAGAAGTGTATACCTGAAATAGGAAAAAGAAAACAGAGTGTATTTTTTTTTTATAAATATGCAACATTTCTATTAAATATTTTCCTTAATGTATGTTTAGAATTGCTGACTTTTCTAATAACGTCTGTATTTCCATGTGGCTTCATTTTGATGGCAGCAGTACACTGCACTTACAAGCAATGAAATGAAAAATAACCAGAAATATGAAGAAATGTACTTTTTTTTAAACTGCATTAGAACCTTGAAACATTAAATTTCCAAAATAAACTTGACCCCAAATCTGGAATTATTTAATATGCTAGAAGTCGTATTTGTAAATTGAGCAAATATAGTTACAGGCCTCTCTCAAAGCCATCCCAGCAGTTACCCTGCAGAGGAGCGTTGGTATTTACAAAACTTTACACCTCAGAACTGACATGTCTGTAGATACCCCACTGTTCTTCTGCCCTTCTCAAAAACACAAGGCGGATACCTGCATTAGTCTTATTTCTTGCTCCAGGAATCTTTTGTGATTTGGGAGGGATGGGAAGCTTTGGGACACTTCTGTTGCACACGGGATTAGCCACAGGCATATGCAGAACCTTGAAAGAATCATAATATTCCATTACAATTAACCAAAAGACTGTTTATCACTGCAGGTTTAATTTTGAAAAAAAAAAACCAACCCCAAACACACACAAAACCAAAAAAAACCAACCAAAAAACCAACCAAATATTAATTTGTGGTTTGCTACCTGGCGGGCAGGTGCTGAGAATGTATTTCCGTTTTGTCCTACTACTGAGAGAGGTATCATCCCCACCATTCCTTGCAAAACAGGTTGCACTGGAGATGCAATTATAATGGCAGAACCTAGAAAATATCAGTGTCAAAATTGTACGGAAACCAAAAGACTTCAGTGAAAAGAAAAGCTTCAAGACAAGATTTCTTAAAATTACGCATGGTCAAACCTGTGGCAATAAAAGCTCTAGCTATTTTAAAAACATCACAGTCTTTACTGTATATCGCTACTAGAAAATCAGGTAGTAACTGTTATTTTTAGTTCAAACTGGATTCTTTAATTAAACTGTTTTCTTTTTTAAGAAACGTTTCAAAATTAAGCTTGAAGTGTAACATACCCATGTTAAGGCTTGAACTTTAATTTAATTTATATAAAAAAACAGAAAAAGTAACATCAAATAGCTCATTTTGCTGCTTAGCAAAACTAAACTAGTATTTCCATCCTATTCCCTACGATCAGTTGTTAAAGGAATTTATTTTTTTTCCTTCTAGTGCACCCTTAACACCTTCCTTTTAAGAGCACACAAGAAGTTGGGAAAGGCTAGTTTTGTCTGTATGTACATATCTAATGTATATTCCTGACTGGTAGGAGGTGTTAAATGTAGTACATGAAGACTTTAGTGAATTAGTGGCTTTGAAATCAGCTATTAACAAAAAAAGAAAAAAAAAAAAAAAGCACAATGATACTAATTTGGACTATTTAAGCTGAAGTTTCCTACTTAACTATTTAAATCATAGTTAAAACAGTTGCTATATATGGGAATTATAAAACAAGGAAACTATTATAGCACGTTAATTGAAAAGTGAATTAAAAATTCAAGAAGTGAAAGAAAAACTAATTCCACACAGCTCTTTGGTTACATGAGCACCACCAGGAAAAATATCAAATGCAGAAGAATGAGCAGACTTCTATTTCTGTCCCTGTGAAAAAAGCCTGAAGACAATAGCTGCATAAAGAAATCGTAACAATAGAAGAGGCCAGCGCGCTAAGATCCTCCACATACTGTTGTGCTGACTTCTGACCACAAGAAAACAACTGCACGCAGAAATTAAAGGATAACCACAATAAGTTTTTAGTTTTGGAAATAAATCTAGATGTGTTGATTATAACCAGTTTATAGTTAGGTTTAACATTTTCAAAAGCACTTAAAATTTCTATCACTGTAGTAATACAAATGCTTGCACCAGGAGAGATTACATATTATACATTATATATATATATATATATATATAATATTACACTTTTGTATCTGTCTAAATGTACTTCTAGTGTAGACTAGGTCTCTGGAAAATGAAACAAAACAAAACAAAGTAGTAATTTGGGAAGGAGTATCTACATCTAAGGCAGTTATCTAAACTAAATATGGGTACCCATAACATAGCATTCTATTTATAACAGGAATCTCATTAAAACAAACAAACCAAACTGCTTTATTTAGCTGAAACAACAGAATCTTTTCTAGTGTAAGCCCAAATATGCTTTCTAAATTTATCACTGCTAAAATTATACAATTTAAGCTTCTGAAATATGAGGCTATTTTTTTCAAAGCAGCCTGGTCAGTGACTCTTTGTAGTTCTTATTTCATTTTCAGTAGCAACTAATATACTCAAAAAATACATAACTGCTGGCTAGTTTCAAGGGACAGATAGAGCGGTGCTTAAAAATTTACTTTTAATGCACTAACAAAAAAAGAATAAAAATGGCATATAAATACCATACTTCCAATCATTTTCTAATCATGAGATTACCTTGTGGGAAGTTTGGGGAGACAGTCTGGTTTGCTGCAAATGCATTGGTGGATCTAGGAGGAGTCCGTAACTGTTGTACAGCTGGAGCTTGGGCAGCAAGCGGCATAGAACTGCTGGGCAATACAACTACATTTGATGGTGTTACAGCTGTGCCCAAGGCAGCTGGATCAGTCACACAAGTGGCTATATAAAGGTTATTTGAATTCCCAAAAGCTGTGCTTGTTGCTGGCATCAACTGTATAAATCCCCCTTCCTTGGAAAGATTAGTTGTACCTGCAACTGAAAAACCAGTGCAGTCTTCATTCTGAGTGTTAACTGAGGTGACCACAGGATCCTTAGGTCTAAGCATAAGAAGATTCTGCTCTGCCAAAGCTGAATCCACATTTTTTTCTGTGTCTTCTGAAGTCAGACATTTGGACAGGCCTGTGGTTTTAGTTGGGGATTTGGCTGGAGAAGACAATATTATAGTCGGCAAATTTTCTCCTGTGATGCTGGAAACAGCATTATTTAACTCTGTGTCTGATGAAATAAACGGATCATCGCTGATGATGATCTTGAGGGACATTATATTAGAAGGATCAACATCCATTGGTTGACTACTAGAAGACACACCGCTTATACTTTTGGCCTCTGTACCTGACTCATCTGTTGAGGATGCCGTTTCTGGGAGAGGAGACTGGCATATTTCAGATGTAGTAAGATTATTTTCGGTTGATACTACAGAAATTTCTGTACATGCATCATCACCAGAAGAGAAATATATATTATCAGCATCTACTTTTGTAGAAGATGAAGGTTCTTGCATTTCCCCTTGTGCTCCTTCTAAGTTTGACAGTCCTGAAGAGAGGTTAAAATCTTTCCTACAAGGCTTATCAAGTGTATGCTGATCATTCGAGTAAGGTTTGTTAGAAGTATCGACAACTTCAAGCTGCAACTCTGTTTTGTCAAGATCCGAAATCTTCGCTGCAGATCCTGCAGCACAGTCTGACTGTGTACTCTGTTCCTGATGGCTGGAGCAGTGGCTAGAGTTCTGTAAAATACCAGGTAAGGCAGCTGTATCATTTGTTACAGCCTGTTCTTTTCCCGCATCCCCTGATGGGCTAGAAATTGATGAACTGTTTTTTCTCCGCAGCACACTGTGGCCAGGGCTCCCATCAGAAGGGCTTTTAGTAAGTGTTTTTTCAGATAGTGATGTATCTGGTGATAAGTGACACTTACTTCCGGAATGTGTGTTGTTTTCACTGGCTGTAGTACCTTCTGCCAGTGAAATCAAAGAAATCTGTGGACTACCAGAATGAACATATTCTAAATTAGGACTACTTTGAGCGCTATGACCTGGTGGGCCTTTTTCAATTTCCATAGCTCTTTCACTTTCAGATACTAATGCACACGACTCTTTTTTAGGGTAAGAATCTCCACAGTGTTCATTACATTCGCTATCGGAACTCTGTCTCTTGTTAGGTTCAGTCAAACCAGGTACAGAGTCCAACGCAATTTCAAGCTCTCCAATATGTTCAGGGGTAACGGTTTTCAGTACTTCAGTCTGCTTCCTTGGCCTACAATTTCCATGCAACTGTTCGTTGGTTGTATTTCTCTTAGCCATATCATCATCGTTAACGCTGGTCTTCAAGGTGCACGACGCTTCTCCTAACTGAAAACCTTTACAGGATAGTGATTCTCCAGAATTATCACCTGTCAGACAGAGAATAAATTAGTTCCATAATTATTAGAACAGATGATCCTTTTACAGCATTTTAGAAGCAACTTATCAGTTCAATGGAAAACTGTTTCACATGAAACTAAGTGGGAATAACACTACTCATCCTTACTTTCAAGCTGAGTGGAAAGTATATGAAACATTTGGTTATACACATTAGGCAATCTGGCAAGTCAGTTTGTACATAAATAATAAGCGTACGCATAATAAGCAAATAGCTCAAGTCACTAAATCAGATTCCCAGAAGCACAAAAAAAAAAATCTCAGGATAAAGACCTCTTGGCTCTGTTTCTCATATACTTCCCCTAAAAATCTGCTACTGATGGACTACTGTTAAGAATGAGGTAGACAGACTAAACATACCTTCTGCCCAGAGTAAGACTCTTTTTGTGTATTAATTAACCAATACATTACACAATATAGAAAAAAGATTAATATGGTTAGATGTAAAATATTACCTTTATGTGTTCCACAATTAATATTGTAAAGTATCTCTGTTTTCAGTAAGAAAACAGATTTGCAGATATTCTGGTTTCATTTAGGAGCTTACCAAATACAACTTGTACGTATGCTGATAGACTACTGTTAAATTTAATAGACTGAAACTTTCTAAAAGACTAGCTGTATTTCTATGTTCATGCAACCTAAATGTCAGATTGGATATTACCACTGAAAACAGAAAGACTGAAATGTAAAAGTGGTCTGAAAATATTTTCATAATGAAAAGTGAACAGACTAGAAGTGATCTTAAAGAAAAAAAAAGCAACAAAAAACCACCTACATCTACTGGTTTCTTCTGTTCCTAAAGAACTTTCAAGTGTTTCCAGGTTATCCTCATCCACCAGGATTGCATTTTCTACTCCACTCTGATCAGAAATACCAGCAGGTAAGTTTTTGTTTACCTTGCTCTTTCCTATTTTCAAAATAAAACACCAAGAATGATTAAATACGTCATTTTACACACAAATGTGATTATTACATTATAAATGAAGCATGGAGATTTCAAATTCAAGGAATGCCATCTAAACTCAAAGAACTATTAGTCTATATTCACTACAAATCCAGAAATAGCGTAAAAACATCCTTATATTTTATGTGAGGATATCCCTAACCAGACAAATAGAAAAATTTTACAACAGCATAGAAAAACAAGTATGAACTATCATCCTTTAGACCAGAACAGTCTAAAATAACAGCAATAAAAATCACCGAGCCAGCACAAAACCAGAATTTCAGAAAATGCTGTACTTTATAGTCATATATCTCAATGTATATAAAAATCTAATTCTGAATTCAGGGACAGAGATGCCATACAGTCTACTTCTCTTGCAGAAGAGGCCTGCTGAAATATCAGGCAATATTTAGGAAAACTCGTCATTCATGATGCTTTATAGTAATGGTACAATTGAGTATAATATACCCTACCATAATCAAACAAGTCAAAGAGTGCCTGAAAAGCTGGATCCGATTCTGTCTGTTCTAGAATGTCCTGTATGGCCTCTTCCGACATATGAATTTCACCCTGAGAAAAGACAAGATATACAGGACTGTTAGACAGTTACTTTCATAACTTAAAGAAAAACAGACAAGAATTGTTTTCTTTTCAGATTGTTTTTAGTTCAATTACTTCTGATCAGCACAGAAACATAAAGACTAATGCTGGAAGCATCTCTGCCACAGATTTAATGGCTGTTAAAAAATATTAGTGACTGAAGTTTAAGAAATAAAGTCCCCCAAAACCCAAACATCTTTGTCAGACATTACACCCTGCACATGCATATTGGAGTATTCTCCATATAACAACCTGCATTGTTTAAGAAGGACTAAATCTTGAACTACACTGGAAGCTTAAGCAGATGGTATGAACGCTGTGAGCCTGCATTAGCCAATCACAGTAAAAAAAAAAATAATCCCCCAATTAAGCCTAATTTCTTGGGGTTTTGTATATCTGGAAAACAATGCTAAGCAAACAGAAGTTTTATGTTCTAGAACATGTAATGAGTAAATGAAATAACTTCCAACTGCTTTTCTGTGGAAGGCACAGCTACATAGGACACTGCTTTAAGGTTCTTGTTTGAGCTGATCTGCTGGTAGCAGCCCAGGAAGAAAATGCACAGGGCCCTCAGTGCATATTCAAGTGTTCAAATACAAAATTTCTCCTGACTTCCTGGAGATTCTCTAAGCACTCTACAACTTATGATATGGTGGTTGTAAGGCTGGATACCCCATGCGATATGCTTGATTATTTTGTCTCAGCTACTCTAACTAAACCAATAAGCTGCTTCAATTTTGTTCTGTGCAGAAAAATGGAATACAGCTTTTCAGCCCCATATTTTGACAAAAATTGACCTAAAAATCACCCAATGACAGAAGAATAGCCTTTAAAAACCAGACACCTCTACTTCATAAACAGGCAACTGCCTCTACTCTCCTGCCCTTTTTATGAGCGCCATGAAGATTATAATTCCCTCATTAAGAGTCCTCTATAACACTGTGATTGCCAGCTTGATGGTTGTAGGAGAATGAAGGGAGAACACTAGAAGTTTAGTTTGTAGAAGTAGAATGTGTATTTCCTCCAAAAGCAAGAAAACATTAAATTTAAAGGAAAAGCGTCCTTAGTTAGGCTCCAAAGACATTTTCTCTTGCTATACTAGACAATTCATGTTTGTCTTACAGCAAATCAGAAAATCAGATCAGACTAAGCATGTTTGGAGACCACAAGATATTTTAAATTCCTTTTTCTTTTACAAGGCTATTGATCAGATTCCCAGTCAGAAGCTGGTACCCAGTTACTGGTACCAAAGATCCAGTGACAACAGACAGCTGGTGACTGTGGGACTGCATACACAGATCTCAGTCCGAGGGAAACACTGACAGCTAACGACTGCCAGAAGCGGCCCTACTTCCTTGGCTTTTGACCCTCCTGCACACTACTGCTGCCTTGTACAGGTACTGGGAACGACTTCAGAGCGCTAAACTGGCTCAAAACTAACCCCAGCAAAATATTAGTATCCTGTCAGTTCAGGTCCTCAAAAGCTGCCCACCACCATACAACAAGGTAAGAGTTAATGCCTATGCAAGGGAAGTGGTGGAACTGCCCCTGGGCAGAAGCCAGCCATTAGATAGATTTAGCTGTATTGTAAAACAAAGAAACAAATAAAAACAAAGAAGAGAAAGAGGAGAGCAATCTCAGATATCAGACAGTAGACAGAGGTTCAGCATAGTTCCCACACCTGATCACTCATGTGCCTGGTCTTCAAAAAATGTAAACGGGGCAATCCACACCTACCTGAAGTCCAAGGATTTCATCAATTGAAGTCTCCTGTTCCGTGGGACCACTATCTGCCTGCTTAGGGGCCTGAGCGACGTTGCCATCACTGGGAACACAATAGTCCTTAGTTCAGAACTCAAAAATAAATCAAATAAGAATACCTATGAAGTTTAGAGGTTCCTTTTATTACCTGCCCAGGATTTTGTTAATGTTCTCAGCAAGCTTCTCCTGAAGAGATTTGTTGCTCAAGATTTTTTCTCTGGCATTTTCAATAACCAGTTGCTGGAAAACACAGTTTTAAAGTGGTCATGTTTCCATTTTTATCATCACTATAAAAGGAGCATGAATTTTCAACTTACCAGTAAAAAAAATTCAACACAGAACACTCTTTATAACAGAGAGACAGCCAATCCGTGACTGCATGACACAGCTACGAAAATCATCCCAAAACATTCCTGTACTTCTACTCTCCTAAAGTACAGCAAGGCTTATTGTGTCTTCTGGTTTCCATTCTCTGAAAAATTACTGTATTCTGACAGCTTACAGGTATCTTAGCAAAGCAAATAAATCAAGGGAAAAAAACCCCTCTACACAGTGATGCCATCCTCTCTAGTTTAGTACACAGAAGAGCTAGTTCAAATACAAGACTAAATTTATCTTCTAAAGTTAACTTCTACAATACCCAAGACACACAACATGTAAAAGACTAGTTCTCCTTAGTCTGATTAGTTTCTTAATGTAAATATCTTCCATAAGTATATACTCACTGGGAAGTTACCATCTATGAATTCTTCAAGTGGCTCACTTTCTATTACTACTTCATCAGGGTCTTGAGAACTTTTAGCTGCTGAAAGAGGTCCAGATGTTGCAACACTTTTCCTCTTCTGAGATTCACTGGAACATTCCAGGAAATGTATGATGTGTTTTGTGAGAACATAGCAAACAATAGACATAATGGTCAGTAAATCAAGTGTTTCTCTTCCTTCTTAGTAAACGAAAGATTTTAATCAACAGCAAATTAATTACATACTGGAAACACAATAAAAACTGATATCTGTTTCATTACATCATATGCACACATTGTGTTTGACTTCATAGAAGTTATAAACAAATACACAGAGACTGTGAGTAAAGAGCGTAATGGCAAATTGAATTCCATGCTCACTATTCTGTATTCTTCCCCTTCCAGTACATGTTACTTTAACTGGTGGTATAGGTTCTAATTAATGGCCACTCAAGAAAAACATTTGAGCATCACCACTGAAAATAAAGCTCTCTCAAGGAGCAGGTGTTGTCAAAGAAGCAAACAAATGTTAGGTTGCATAAAAATTTAGATGATGAATAGGAAATGTAATGCTTTTATATGAAATCATGGTATAGGCTCTTCTGAGACCACCAATCACCAGTCGCACTTAAGTCACATATACAAAAAAGTCATGCAAGAATAGAGAAGACTTGGAAAAAGTATAAGTGAGTAATGGTCTGGAAAAATTATAAGCAAAAACACTTTTTGGGCTTTAGTCAGTGGTAAAGACAATAAATGAAATACAAAGATTAGTCAACTCATTAAAAACAAGAGGACACTGGAATAAAAGAATAAAAAAAATGTGAAATTGGTGTAAGAACAGTTATTCATACTAAAATAGTGTGAATATGAAAGTTTTTGCTGACAAAATTTACAGAAGCCAACAGTTCTTCTAAGTTAAAACCAGACAAAATGTACACTTATATCAATATTGAGAATTTTCATAATTGATAAGGATATTTTGGAAGGAATATCAAATCTCAGGCTCCAAGATTATTTGCCTATGTCTAATACTAGAATAGTGTAAAGACTGGCTATATGTAATAAAGAAGCACAAGTAGCCTCCTGTCAGTCTAGTGTTAAGTTCTTTGACTTTCCTTTCCTTTGTGAAACATCACACACTGGCCACTCTCAGCGGATCTTAAATGTGAAACACTCTACCACCTCAGAAAATTTAGAACACTGCATTATCCCTGAATGATCTGGAACAACAACAACAAAAAAAACCAACTCCCTTTTTACCTTTTTCGCCTTCCTGGAGAAAGCAAGTTTGAGTGAAGCTTTCGTTCTTGTGATACTGGAACTTGAATGTGTATGAAATCTCCTGCTTTATAATGGGGAAAAAAAAAGAAAAAGAAAAAGATCATGATGCCAGTACCTTTTCCAGTGACGTTGTTGAAGCACTACAGAAATCTACACATTACTTATTATGTTCCAATCGATTCCTGGGCATTAATACAAAATAATTTGGTATTATCATGAAAATGAGAACCACTCCTTTTAAATATAACCTGAGGAAAACATCCGCTTGATGGGAATCATCCCTGTCTGCTAAAACAAGTGTTTTGGGTGAGGGTGAGAACACAGAATAGAATAATGACAAATTAATGCACTTCTGATCTCTGGACCCATCTGAGCAAGCAAGCATGCAAGAGCTGTTTCTCTTTTGGGCACTCATTTTATTTTAATCACTTGAACCAGTCTGAACAGCTAAGGGAAGAACGCATGAATTTTCTGAAACTTTTTTGGTGGAAGATGATTAGCCCTGGCTTTAGAAAACTTCCATCTATATCCACAGATTTTTCACAGAAAAAAAGGTTTAAAAAAGCGTGCAACTTACTGCTGATCTTGTTTTCTTGGGTTTGTGACTGGTGAACAAACAACGTATTCAGTCTTGTCTGTGACATGCTTTGATTTATTGTTGGCCTGTGAATAACTTGAGGAGATACAATAGAAGAGGAATTCTGTGGCCCTGACTGATGGGCTACTGACAACAATCCTGAGTTTGCAGGAGTCGACTGCTGGAGCATTCTTTGTCTTTTCATTTCTACAATTCCACTTCTTGTACGTGCTAGAGATAATAAAGACAAGATGAAAATATACGATAAAGGAATTTAAAAAGATTTCTGATTTTCCAAGTCCTAAATAAGGATGTTTCATTGAAACTTTTTTGTGCTTCAACAACTAATTCATGAAACTCAAAAAGTAAGCAACACCCATCTCTGTCTTCTGTGTTACAGGTTTGAGCCAGAACAATTCAAGAAGTTCAGCCAATCTACAGACGTTGTAAACGTGCTTGTATCAATCCTTAAATATTTACAGGAATAACTCATACCAAAAAGATATTTCATTACATAATACAGCACTTACATAATTGACCTTAACTGAAATAGCTAAACTGGTGTAAGTTTGCATTTCTTTATCAGACTAAACCTGACAAATTTAAACATCAGAACACTTGATCCATTGAATCTCAGATCCAAGAACAATCGCTACCTATGTTTCACAGTCTCTTTTCTCACACAAGTTACTCAGTAGAAGTACTACAGTACTTTTTTAAAATTTTTAAATAATTATTTAAATAATTATTTTTTAAATAATTATTTCAAGATTGTAATACATTTTTATATTCCCCTTCTACAGAAATTAAACTGCATCATAAGTATACTGGTTATGTTTTCAGTTCCTCCTATGAACCACAAATTAAGTCAACAGCTTCAGGACCAAAGCAGCAGTTTTTAAACCTTTTAACCGTGTAAACTTCTGAAAAGTTTTCAGCAGAGAAGAAAATGCTATATAGAGAATTTAAGCCCCTTGCAAAAAGCTCAGCTTTTCTTATTTGCCTTTCTTGATCATTACATTAACCCACAAACTGCAGTGAAGACAAAAGAAATGCCAAAAAAAACACTGCAGAAGAGATTTGACAACATTTTAAGAGTAAGGATGCATTACTGATTGCTGCAGCATTCCCCTCTTTTTTCCCAAAACAGGTAATTTGAAGATAAAGCCTGTTGATCCCACGGAATTGGTTCAGTTACTTACTCCTTTGATTAGCCGAAAATCCTGTGGAATTCTGCATGCTCCTAAAAAATAAAGCAGGTGACAAATAAAAGGAGCACAACGGAAACACTCAGCTACACAGTGCGACAGTATTTATCATATGGTGAATGTCAGTCATAATCCCAACCACACATTACTTCAGAAAGCTTCAATCTGCTGATTGTTATTTTCATTCTTTCAAACAATGGTCACAGATCCTTCAAATTAAGCTTACTGTTATATTTTTGATTAAGTAACCACAATGGTATTGAGTTTTAAATGAGTCATAGTATATTGTTTTATTACAGGAAGGCAACATACACTATTGACCTACTTATCTGCTGGTCCTGCCTTAAAATCCTGAAACATCTACTCAACTCTCACATACCCATCTTTTTCACCATCTCTCAGAGGCAACACAGAGCAAAACCATTCTCATGCAATGATAAGGGGAGTTGATCAACATAAGGACTCACTCTTAAGAGTGAAATTTTACTTTATTGATTTCAAAACTGTATTACCTGATCTGAGAAAGTGTATAGTCTAATTTTTTCCACAGAGATGACATCATTGCTGGAACTTCATTTGTTGTTTCTAAAGTAAACCATAAAAAAAAATTAGATGCCTAAACCAGACACACGTTGAGAAAAAGTAAAATCACAAGAAAAATAATTATTATTAAATATTATATGTGTTTCAGACATCATCTAACTTTAGGTGTCTAGTTGCCTTCTTAATACTCTGATAATTAGAGAGCCCTAACTCCTAATTTAAGAACTTTGATTGATATGAACACACACTCATCATGGATACAGTTCCCAGTTTTAGAAGCCTAAATGAAACTGAGGCAAAGACATTAATGATGTTAATTCTCAATGGAATCTGCACATGGTGTTGAGTCCTGGGCAAATGCATGCTAACCTAACTCACTTCTGGAAATGGTGTTCATATTCCCAAGTTATTTATGCGCTTTTGAAAATTGTAACCTGGCAGACAGGCCTTTAAAAGCAATGGTTTATTTTAAGATGTCACCCAAACAGGTAAAAACACTTGGTATTTTTGAAGCACAGAACATTAAAGTATAAATGGGAAGAAATACGCAGAACAATCTATAAAGTTTTTCAAGGTGCCAAGTACAAAGTATTTTGAAGAAAGCATGTTTGTGTCTTAGTTACCATTTCTGTTTAACTTAGTGTGAAAGGAAAAAAACAGAATCACAGAATTTTCAGAGTTGGAAGGGACCTCTAGAGATCATCTAGTCCAACTCCCCTGATAAAGCAGGATTGCCCAGAGCACATTACTCAGGACTGCATCCAGGCAGGTCTTGAAAATCTCCAGAGAAGGAGACTCCACACCCTCCCTGGGCAGCCTGTGCCAGTGCTCTGCCACCTGAACTGTAAAGAAGTCTTTTCGTGTGTTGGAACGGCCCTTCCTCTGTTCCAACTTGCACCCATTGCCCCTCGTCCTGTCACTGGGAACCACTGAGAAGAGTGTGGCTCCATCCTCCTTCAACCCACCCTTTAGATATTTGTAAGTAGTAATAAGGTCTCCCCTCAGCCTTCTCTTCTCCAGGCTAAAGAGTCCCAGCTCTCTCAGCCTTTCCTCGTAAGGGAGATGCTCCAATCCCTCAATCATCTTGGTTGCCCTTCGCTGGACTCTCTCCAGCAGTTCCCTGTCCCTCTTGAACTGAGGAGCCATTCAGAAACCTTCCAAACATTCAGAAATGTTCTAAACATGATCTTAAATTGCAAGTCTTAGAACCAAGAACCACTAAAATCTGATCAGACAACACGTATCCAAAAATTGTAAGACTTGTCAACATTTAGAAGCTCAATAACTGCTTTTAAAAAACAGGAAGTGCTCTGTCTCTAATATTCATGCAAAATATTAAGTTATTCTGAAACTGTTTTAATTAATTTTAAAAGCCAGACAAGAAACATTTCACACCACAGAACTCTTTCTGGTTATTTCATAGAATCGTAGAGTATCCCAAGTTGGAAGGGACCCATAAGGATCATCGAGTCCAACTCCAAGCTCCTCACAGGACTACCTAAAACTAAACCTTAGAACTAAAAGCATCGTCCAGATGCTCCTTGAACTCTGACAGGCGTGGTGTTGTGACCACTTCCCTGGGGAGCCTGTCCCAGTGACCAACCACCCTCCTAGTGAAGAACTTTTTCCTAATGTCCAAACTGAACCTCCCCTGATGCAGCTTCTTTCCATTTCCGTGTGTCCTGTCACCGGTCACCAGAGAGAGGAGATCAGCACCTCTCCCTCCTACTTACAGTAGAAACAATAAACAGTATAATTTTACAAGCATAAACCTATACATTTTGCACACTTTATTATATCTTTATGCTTTTTTACATTAGAAGTTCTGCTCAAATTTGAAGTGAAATTACATGCTGAAAAATCCAAACTACGATAATTAATTTTGCTCACAAGATGCTGACCTAATTGTCTGTTGTCAGCATAATATGGAAATCTTCAACTTCTAGCATAGATAGGGGGATTGCTCTAAGTTCAAACACAGGTGGAGATATTACCTCTTCCTCAAGGAGTTCACAACAGATAAATAAGAAAATTAAAATAAAATCTCATTCTGAAGGCTTACCTTTTGTTTTCATGGCTACGTATTCATTAAGAATAGTTGTCAAGTTTTTTCCACACAAGGACTGGAAAAAAAACACTGATCTTAGAATCTTCACTAATAACTTATATTTCATCTGCAGTATCACGTTATATTTAAGCAGTTCTTTAGAAGACTACACCATGCTGGCCCTCAACACAAGGAACTGTACTTTAAGCCGCTGGTGCTGAGTTGTCTCAAACTAGGTAGAGAGAAATCTATGGAACAAAATGCCATTATGAACACAAAATCTGAAGTGCTTCATCTCATTGCTCAACACTGGTATAGCATAACTCACCTTTGTTATTATGGAATAAAAACACAAAAATAAGACTATCAGCAGCTGTAACAGAGTAATGAGAATGTACCATTGTGGAACGCAACATGCGTTAAGAGACAAATGTGAAGAGAACTTCTGTCTAAAGTAAAATTTGTAACAGTCACACAGAATTAACTTTCATGTCATATTTACTTGTGCTGCTATTTTAGGTGAAACAAAGAATTAAGATTCTAAGGTTTTCACTATCATGTTGCACCTTCTTATTTTGTTTACTAGTGGGAACTCTACAGGGTATGAAAAATACATAGCAAGTATTTCGAGCTGCAGTGGGATTTTTTTCTTAGATGCTATCATATCATCACTTTTCTATGAAAAATAGCAAAAATGATTTTACTGAGAAAAGAAAGATAACGAAAAGCTTTCAGAATCTGGATAATCTGTTTACATTTGTTTTTTCTAATTTTTGCTGGCCATAGCTTGGTTCTCAGTTCCCTGCCCCCGAAGAACAGATGACTGAACCTTGTAAATGAAATAAGTTCAATGGTCTGTTTTGAATGCATCAAGACCTCGGATCTCAGAAAAGATTTCCACATATTTTTAGGTACTGCGCACAAAATCCCAGACGATATAGTTAACTGATATATTAGAACAATGAAATGGAAAACAGGAAGAAGATGCACATATGAACATTAAAAGGTTGATACACAGCAATATCTAAACCCTGTAATTTGTATACTGTATTAAAAATACCATTTTGGATATGTTAAAAATGCAAAGTATCTAATTACCCTGTAGCTATATGCACCTATCTACATACGTAACTACACACTGTATATATGCACACCCAAAGTTCCACATTTCACCTGGGACAAAGCAGATGACACAGATCAAAGAGGAAGCTGAACTGAAACACAGTTTTTGTCAACAGAATTTGGTAGCTTTAGATAAAGCTGAGGTATCTTACCCAAATATTTAACATGTACTTGAAATGGAACGTTACCGGCTGACCTGTCTATGATAGGAAAGCGATCTCCAATAAATTACAAGAGCAGCCCTGAAATCAATAAAACCCTTGCGACACTCTTCCATAAATCAACCTCAAAGCTATGAAGCAGTCTAAACGTAATATGCTGAAACCAATTTGCATATTTTACACTTAAATGTTTCTTAGCAACATTAAATACTAGAAACCAAGTTATTGTTAATACCACAGGATGCAACAACAAAAAGAACAGAGGGGACAATCTAACTAACCATTTCAAACAGCATTTGAGAAATAATTGTTACACAGAGAAATCTCAGTGTTCTTTTCCATGGATGTAAGACAATTTAACTTCCTGCTTTGCAAATACAAACTCACCAGCAAACAGGCTGGAATAATCCCATCCTCTGTACAGTGCTCTGCATATTCTTTCAAATCTGAGCTTTCCAAAATAAATTCACGGCAGGTAGCTAGAAGTTTTTCCTGTTGTAAATATCCTGCAACAGATCAGACAGAAAATTTTGCTATTTCGTTCATTACTTCTGCTCAATACACATCAACATAAACAGCTGCACACAGTGTTGAAATAATCAGGTAAAGATGTGTATGTTATACGAGGAAAGTATATTTTGAAAGAGCCCACATCTTGCAAAATATTTCTTTAATAGTTAAAACCAGAAAAAGCACAAAATATTATTGATAGTATACTGCATTTACAAACTATTCAAGACTGGAAGTGAGGCAAATTTTCTGATTGATCTTTAGTTCAGACAATGCTGTACGGACAAGAAAATAAAAGCTCAAACAACCCAGTGTGATAATTAAACAGAATTCTACAATACTTTGTTAATAAAATGCATTGCTACGTTACAATAACTCTCCATGCATCCTTCCATTTCAAAACAGGTAAAACCTGTGCAGCTATTACAATAGTGTGTAAGATTTATTTTAAAAATTGGCATTGTACAAAAATTAATAACAGAAAAAGGTTTTCTCCCCCCACTTACTGTAATTTTCATTTCAAATAGATGTACTAGCTGCAACTTGTGCACTGTACACACCCCAAGACTCATTAGTTACCTTAACATGAAATATACTGAAAAAGCTTACTTTTCCAAAATTCCATTCCTCAGCAAATATGTTCTGCTTTAATCAAACTTTTTAAGCCCTACTTTAATCTTCAGTACTCATAACATGAAAAGATAGAAACAGACCAATCTAATTGAAGGATTCTAGAACAAAGAATCACAAAAGAAAATGTCTCTTCTTTCTTGCTTGTAGCAGAACTGAACATGCAATGTTTTAAAGAAAGGATAAAACATGTGCCTAATTATACAATGCAGAATATATGTATGTTAGCATATGTATTTCATTGGACCCCTAAGACGGTCCACCTCAGTTCAGGCATGCCTATAGAAAAACGTGGCCTTTAAGTCTGCATGAAGACAAGTATCCTCCAGTGGACCTGGGTATAACTGGAAAAAAAGATAGTATTTCAGACACATAAGCCCTTATTCAGGTCTTCAACAAATAAGCAAGCTTGAAAATTAGACAGTTTGGGAATAACCACTGTGAGTTTAATCACGATGCATAAGCCGATCTATTCAACAGAAAATGTTAGTGGTACCTGTGGAAAGGGTATTTTACGATATATTTTTCAAATGTATTTTGTTAGAAAACTCTCAAGCCACAAACTGTTGGAAGCTGAAAGTGTATTTTGGGAAACACAATTATATGCTAGTCTTATTCCTATCCCCTATACCACCGACTGCTGGCCAGGATGGAAGATGGGCTATCAGGCTAGCTGGAGCTTTGTTATGTGCTAGTATTGCTGTTCTTACAACCAAAATCATCTGGACATTTACATAAAAAGTTGCGAGTTTTCTTTCTGGAACCTACTCCTACAGTATTGCAAGGGATGTCTGAATGCTTGCATACAAGCACATACACCAATTTCCTGTAAAATAAGGCATTCCAAAGTTTAAAAATGCCTGAATTAAGACCTTCTGCGCAACTGAACTGCTTGTGCACACACTGTATAACAACATAACAGTACACAATCTTTAACATCGCCAAAACCAAACTAAAAGTACAAAAGGTACGTTATCTTCTGATCTAGGAATGAGTAAATATTTCGTTCTATCTTAAGAAACGTAACGACACATGTCTAACTCATCATACACATTCACTCTTATATTAATTAGAAAAAGATACATTTTCCTCTGTATTTTTCTATGGGTGAGCTCATCATTTTAGTTTTGTTTCTTAAACCAATATTCATCAACCTTCACAGCACCAGAAAGACTTAGCTAAAGGCGGTGGTGGTGAAGCTGGAAGAAGAGCTGCACTAGGAAGCCTGTTTATCCACCCAAATTCTCAGGTGCCTCATGGAAGAGGAATCCCTATTAGAAGACAGAAATGGCTACAAGGAATATCCTGTCCTAGAACCTTAGGTTGCTCGGAAGTTTTCTGGGTATGATGCACGCACCGTGCCACAACAGACACAAGATAGGACGGCTCATCCGTAGCACCCATGACGTTGCCAAGATTGTCTACTATGTCTGCAAGTCTCTGGTTGGCATGTAAGACAAACTTGTAACTTAACCAATTTTTTAATAGAAAAGTACAGTGAGAGATCTCCCTTGTATGATTTTAAATCTTCTTTTGCAGAGCATGCAGTTCCTAAAAATCCTCAATTACGTCACAATAATAAAAGCACTGAAATCGCTTACTAGCCTCACTTCTCAAGACAGGACCAAGAAACATTTCAGGCCGTATTTAAAAATAAACTGTGCTGGAGGAATACTGAAGAAAAGCCTTAATGGCTTTGGATTCAAAAAAAATTGTGGACAACTGAAAACTGAACCTCACAACGCCAGCTGCCAGCAAATCCTGACAGCCTGCACCTACACATGCTTACGTGTGGCTCTTAAATATGTGGGTCATATTTTTGATTACCATCCATTTGTGTTTATCTTCGGCAGTATCCAAATAACTCAAAGCATAAAGTCGTTTAAAAAATTCACCGTCTCCTGCCGACATCCTGAAGAACGCTTACTCTGCCCCTTCCACAGACACTGAGCAAACCCCCCGCTCCCAGTCCCACCTCACAGGTGACAGAGACTGGAACGGAAAGAGCAACGGGCTGAACCTTAACCCAGCCTCCTCTGGCATTTTGGATCACCCCTGTATTCCTCCTGCACTCGCATACCTTATTACACCCCACTCACCAGGCATCTCGCTGCAGGTGGACACCAAAACCCACCAGTTTCGTGAACCCGCCCCGGGCCCGACCACCCCCACGGAGGCGGCCCGGCCCGGCGGGCTGCCCTGCGCCCGCGGCGGCTCCAGAGGCCCAGAAGTCCTCTCCAGACCGAGACCAAGAATCAGGGTCTTAAATTAAGCTGACCTGACCTGATCTGAAATTGCAGAGAAACGGTAGTTTCTAATGTGGTAAAGAGCTAAGTTTTCGTTACACCTCATGTTACAGTAATTTGACCAATTCAGGAACTATCTTAATCTTTTGATAAAAATTCAAACATACAAATTGACTTAGTACTAAGATATATCGGAATTCTGTAAGAAGACCACGTGAGCTTTATAAAATCCACAGAAAATGACAAGGGTCAATTTAAGAAGAAATTCTGTTGCTAGGAGACAAGAACTGCAAGAAACCCCAATAATGTTTCTTCATTTTAAATAGTAACTGGATTAAGAAATAGTAACCATAGATGAACAAGAAATAACCAGGAAGGTCAAGGAGTGAGTTTGAGTGAATTTATTGAAATTCAATGCAAATGTAAAACATTTTGATCAAACTGTCTTTTATGCTTACTGCAACTGCATATGTAAGTAAACGCAGAGTAAACATCAGATCCATCCCCATGTGCTGAATCTATGTTTTGGTGTATAATTTTTTTCTATGTGTTCATTCATCCTTCTTCCACTATATATCTGACTTTTATAACTCATCTGTATGTGTTGAGTCATAGTATAGTAACAAACTAAACACAGGGGAGCATTTATTGGAAGTTTGTCCATATGAAACCTTTTTGTGGCATGTTGTCTCAGTTTATAAGTGGACTCCAGCATATATAAAGCATTTTGTCTATGCAAAAATTAAGGCTATATAAATCATGACTCCAATAACTTCTTTATTCCTCTATATCCATATCATTATATAATTTCATACTGCCAGGCCTTTTGAGATGTTTTTTACTGTTAGTCAAGAATCCCTTTGTACTGCAAAATATTAAGTTCATTAAGTAAATGATATGCTAGTTTTATCAAACCTCTAGTTCCTGCTGTAGTGGTTTTACCAGCTGTGAACGTCTCCCATATTCTGCTCTACTGTTTTTTTTTTTTTTTTTCGTTTTAATCTTCTTTTGTGTGTTCCTTCCTTGCCCTGTGTAATTTTTATAGGGGATGAGAGCAGTCGTAAGATGATAGTGGGAGAACGAGGAGGAGGAATAGTAGATGGACTCAGTCTTGGGAATTCTTCGCTGTTATTACGGCAGTTGAAATACCGCAAAGTACAGCGGAGAGGACTGACTGCTTCCCTGTTGGTACCCAGTCCCTACGACATCCGGCACGTGTTGCCATGGTTCTCAGTCAACCACTTCGCGGCCCGTCAGCATTTTAGAAGCCATTAGTTTTTAAAAAGTTGCATCTTCATTTCAGCTTCTTTTTCAGCAAAAGCAGCAAGTTAGTAGGGGAACACTACCGCGTTTAAATCAGTTCAGTCCAGTACAGCCAACTTTCATGCTTCCCACGTTTTCCTTTTCATACATGCCTGATCGGTCACCGTATTTCTGATCGTACCTAGTCCCAGCTTGATCTTGATTGAAGCTGAAGGAAATAAATATACTCTAAGACAGTAGATATTTAAAGTTTTACTTGTCTAAAGTGGATATTCTTATATTCTAACGGGCTCAAGGTGCAGTGCTGTGCATTGTGAACGCCCGTTCTCAACTGCTTATTGCCACCTGAGCAGCATATGCTTGGAGTTACTTCCCACTTGCCTTATCTGTCCATTTCAGATAGCAGCTGCTTTGCAGGGGTAAAAGGAGAAGCATGGAAGTTGCATAGTATGTCGGTGTCATGATCTGCTTGAGCATAACTTTATGTAAACCAGAAATGCAGAAATGCTAATTCCAACCTCCGTTGAAGGAGGTGAAGCATAATTTTAAGTGCTCACAGGAGGGAAAAGTTGTTTCGTCTTATGATTGATGCTTGAGCATCCTTTGACATGTTGAGTCCAGAGGGATTTGTCAATATGATAGTGCATACCTGTGAAAATGTAGGATGCGAGAGAGGAAGAGTTTTCAATTGCCACCTCCTCCTGGCAGCATCAGGTTAAGGCAGCTACTGGTGACAGCAAGCTATGGAAAGTTAGTGCTGTTTGCCTGAATGTATTCAGCTCTGCGGCATTTGGATCTTATCATAATTGCGCACCATATTATCTGACCAACTCTACTCTTATCCCTCATAAAAAGGGAGGAAGTCAGAGTCATGCGAAGGGGGTCTCTGCTGTTATTCTTTACTGTTGCCTGTGGGAATAGACCACATTCTCAAGCTGAGACTGCTTCAGTCTTATGGCCTGTAAGTCTAACTCAAGAGACCAATGAGCTTTTCAGCAAAATAACACTATGATTGTCTTTGATACTGGATTTTGAATACATTGCATTCTCGATTTTTGGACTGGTTGATTTGGCTCTGTGTTAAATAAAATAATTGCTGTTTTATCCTTTTCTTCTCTTTGCAGATATAAACGACACTTGCATTAAACTGAACCATGAGTCTTGCATTACATGATCTGCTCATTTGTTGTCGTCGCCTTGAAAATGAGAAAGCTACGGAGCGAAGGGTAACAACTTTTCTTTTGCTGTGTGTGCCTCAATTAGCAATGAAGGAAATCATTAATAATTCTTTTTATTGAAATACATTTTCAGAAGGAAATTGAAAATTTCAAGCGACTTCTCCGTGATTCTGAAACAGTTCTCCAGCTGGACCGGAATTCTGATTCTAAACAAGGAAAGCAACTCAACTGGGATGCTGTATTTAGGTAGTTTCTTTTTTTTGGTCTGTGTGAATGGTTGCAATTTTCTTACATGGAACGTCACTCTT